CGTGCATATGTATCTCAAGCACGCATCCAAAATCAATGACTGTTTTTTGCTCTTGCAGAAACACACCAAGTCAAAAGCGGAGGGTGGGTGTATTACACACAAGGACTTGGAACAATTTATGGCTACCTCTGTTAGGAATGCAACCTTTTGTGAATATGCATTACAAATCAAAGCAAATGTTTCAGTTAATTTTTGAGTCTACATTGTTTTTGGTAACTTCTGTTAAGAAGCCTGACCAACTCTGAACCATAAGGTTCACTGAGAGATATTCCATCAAAAGGATGAAGATTGCACTCAAAATTCCAAACCATGTATTATAGGCTTGGCATCAGCTAATAATACTAACAATTTTATTGTTTATACTCCGTCCATCTGGCTGGGTTTCCCAAGCCACTCTGGGAGGCTTCCAGCAAAATATAAAAAATAACAAAATGTCAAGCTATTAAAAACTTCCCGATACAGAGCTGCCTTCCAATGTTCTCTAAAGTTGTGTAATTCTTTATCTCCCCGACATCTGGTGGGAGGGCATTCCACAGGGAGGGCACCACTGCTGAGAAGGCCCTCTGCCTAGTTCCCTGTAACCTCACTTCTTGCAGTGAAGGAACCGCCAGAAGGCGCTCGGCACTGGACCTCAGCGTCCAAGCTGAACAATGGGGGTGGAGACGCTCCTTCAGGTATACAAAACCGAGGCCGTTTAGGGCTTTAAAGGTCAGCAACAACACTTTGAATTGTGCTCAGAAACATACTGGGAGCAAATGCAGGTCTCTCAGGACTGGTGTTATATGGTCTCGGCGACCACTTCCAGTCACCAGTCTAGCTGCCGCATTCTGGATTAATTGTAGTTTCCAAGTCACCTTCAAAGGTAGCCCCACGTAGAGTGTATTGCAGTAATCTAAGCGGGAGATAACCAGAGCAAGTACCCCTCTGGTGAGACAGTCCATGGGCAGTTAGGGTCTCAGCCTGCATACCAGATGGAGCTGGTAGACAGCTGCCCTGAACACAGAATTGACCTATGCCTCCATGGACAGCTGTGAGTTCAAAATGACTCCCAGGCTGCGCATTGGTCCTTCAGGGGCACAGTTACCCCATTCAGGAGCAGGGAGTCTCCCACACCTGCCCCCTGCCCCCAAGTACTTCTGTCTTGTCGGGATTCAACCTCCACCTGTTAGCCGCCATCCATCCTCCAACTGCATCCAGACACTCAAGCAGGATATTCACTGCCTTCACTGGCTCCGATTTAAAGTAGAGGTAGAGCTGGGTATCATCCGCATACTGATGAACATCCAGCCCAAATCCCCTGATGATCTCTCCCAGTGGCTTCACATAGATGTTAAAAAGAATGGGGGAGAGGACGGAGCCCTTAGGCACCCCACAAGTGAGAGCTCAGAGGTGTGAACACGCATCACCCAATACCACTTTCTGAACACGGCCCAGGAGGAAGGAGCGGAACCACTATGTAACAGTGCCCCCAGCTCCTCTAGTCAGTCCAGCAGGTTGTCATGGTTGATGGTATCAAAGGCTGCTGAAACATCCAGCAGGACCAGGAAACAGTTTCCACCTCTGTCCCTAGCCCACCAGAGATCATTGACCAGTGTGACAAGGCAGTTTCAGTCCCATGATAAGGCCTGAAACCTGACTGGAAGGGATCCAAATGGTCTGCATCCTCCAGGCGTGCCTGGAGTTGTTCAGCAACCACCCGCACAATCACCTTGCCCCACAGAAGTTTGAGATTGGCTCAGAAAACCCAAGTTTAAACTGGCCACCTATCTTGATCTGCTGTGTAGACTATAGCTTATACATGGCCACATAGACAACCTGTTGACTGTTTCATAATCTGTAAAGAGGCCAGTCTGGCTTTAACTTTTTATATCATATTATGCACAACTCATCAGCACTCAAGGCCAGTTCATGACCAGATTTTTGGAGAGCTGTTTGAAAAGGTCTCCAAAAAATTGCAGTTTTGGTGCCCAATATGGAAGTCTAGATTTTAAAATTACATTTGCTATCTGCATCCTCTCTCTTAAGGAGTACAAGATGACATACATGGGGATTATTTTGTTTTATACCCCCTAACAACTGTGTAAGGTAGGGTAGACTAAGAGTCAGTGACTGGCTCCAGGTAACGTAATGAACATTGTGACTAAGCAGGTATATAAATCCAGGTCTCCCAAGCTGGAGGTCCAACAGACCACACTATTATTAGAGCATCTGCCTCTTATAGAAGATAGAAGTAGAATACACCTGTTTGGTGACACAGATAGATGGTCCTATTCCTAGGAAGTTTGGTATTAGAGGGTTTTTGGCGGGGGGGAGGGCGGTTGACAAACTTAAATCATTTAGGTCTGAAAACATTTACGGCTCATCGCAGAGACACACATATTTACTTGTGAACAAAACAGGCACCCTTTTATTAAATGTAAAGACACCACTTGAAAAATTCATAAGATCTGTTTCACACATTAGGAATTCAACCAGAAAAGTGTAGAGGGGGAAAAAATGACAAAAGATTTGTTCTTACGGTTGATAAAAAATTTATACCAAGGCATTCAAGTAAAGTTACTTTCTGTGTTCTGATTTAATGAATCATTTGAGCAGTATCTGGCCGGGGTGACACTGATGTAAGGCTCATTGAAGCCTGCTCTAATGCCTACTGGTATAGCCTTCCCTGGGACAACAAAAGCAGAACAATGTGTCAGACTGAAGCAAGATCAAAGTAAGTGCAGTTCTGGGGATGCTATGGGGCTGGCCTACAACACATCTGGATCTGTGAATGGATGGCAAGCACATTGGCTGCCCTATAGACTCCAGTGACCCAGCAAGCCCAAAAGGAGGGGAAGCAGCAGGGCGGTAATAAACAGCCTTCGAAGTAAGATTTTCGCAATCTTGTAATTCAAGCTGAAAGCCGTACAAAGATTGCTCGATGGTTTCAACTCTTAACTAAAAGGTAGACCACGACATTTTTTTTAAAAAAGCCACCAGTGATTTCTTTTATATATATATTTTAAGACAGAACAACTAGTGCCAGTTTTTAAAACACAGTTTACAAAGTGCCTTCGGATGCTGTGAAACATTTCCCCTCTGCCATTTAATTTTAGCGGCAGGATCCGTGTGCTGATATTATGTTTCCTGTCCTACTGCTCTCCGTAGGAGGCTTTGCAAGTGAATGCAGTACAGTGGTACCTCGGGATGCGAATGGGATCCGTTCTGGAGCCCCATTCGTACCCTGAACAGAACGTAAGATGCAACAGCACGTATGCTGGTCGCGTTTTGCCGCTTCTGCGCATGACATCATTTTAGCATCTGCGCATGCACGAGCGGCGAAACCCAGAAGTGATGCGCTCTGTTACTTCCGGGTTGCCGTGGAGCGCAACCTGAAAGCGCTCAACCTGAAGCATATTCAACCCAAGGTATGACTGTAAATGCAAGAACCTCAAAACAGAATAGTGTGGGCAGTCATCTCATAGCCTCTAGGACACCGTGACCAGTTTTCTGGGACCCAGTTGCATGTGCGGGGAGCTGAAGAGGGGCACAAATGTTCTGCGTGCTAATGCTACTCTTTGTTAGATTGCATCCCAGGTCTATGCAATTACTTGGATAACAAAGCAAGGGAACTAAACTTGAAATTTAGTTCACTAGGACTCTTAATTCATACGGTCCCCAGGTAAGTGTGTCAAAGAAGCTTTGGGGTACCAATGAAATGTCTAAATCAGCAAGGCTGAACTAAAACAACGAACAGCAGTTTTTCACTTAAGAAAGGGCCTAGCTGGGGAATCTGTTTCAAAAGCCAAGCTTTACTCTAGGAGTATATAAAAGAAAAGGAGGGAGGGAATACGAGCATGTGCAGAATGCACTGCCCTCCTCAGACGATCCCCGCCTCACAGCTATGGAGGGGAGGTAAAGCATTCTGGTGAGGTGGATATCGGAGGTCGTTTCAGAAATAACATGTTGATTAAATGGAAGCAGAGAACGCTTACATAATCCAAATTAAAAGGCCTGCTTAAATCATGTAAGAGAATGCATAATTAAAGAGACACAGACACACAAACAAAATGTTTGGGCAGAATTTGTTGACAATGTTTATATCTGACACCAATTATAGCCAGGCAGCCTTGCAAATGGTACGTCAACCGTTTTCGTGTTTCACTGCTTTTGCTTGAGAAAAAGAGAGCCCTTAACATGCATCAGAAATATTTAAACCCGGGTTGGAGAATCTGTGATGCTCCAGATGAATGAATGAATGAATGAATGAATTTGTTGTTACGACCATCACGGTCATTTCAACCACCACTAGAAAGAAATATACCTACTGCAGGGCCACAGGGGACCCACTCCTGATTTCAGCACAATATGATAATGTGCAGTGCAAGTTACAGAATTGTCTTAGCCCTTCTTCCCCACTCACAATTTTTTTTGGGGGGGGTATATATTAAATGTTTGGGACACAGAATGTGTGCTCCTTCATGGCTACCTTTAGACACTTATGGTCGCAGGGCACATGATGCAACCACCTTTCCGGATTTAAAGCAGGCCTGATTTAAAGTCAGCACCTGGATGGGAGACCCAGCTAACTGGGAACCCATCACAAACCACCCTGAGAGTGCCATCATGGAAGAAAGACAGAAGAAAATGCACCAAATAAATAAAAATAGACAGATATGGGTAGATGGCAAGACAGCTTGCTAATGGTTGAAAGAACCAAAAACTATTCTCTCCATTTCCAAGCCTAAGAAATTAACTTTCTGCAGACTTTATGGGAAGGAAAGGCAATGCCCTATTTGACTCTCCAAGGTCACCCTCGTGCCCTATTTTTCTACTTTCTTGTCCCCACTGCAAGATGCTGGCAAGAAATAGCCAACAAAACTGGCCAGATTAAAGACTATGCCTCTCTTACTTAACCAGCAGACCACTCAGCAACACTGAAGGCCCATTAGCACAATTCTGTTGCTGCTAATAAACTTAACAAAAGATTGAGAAGAAATGAATTCAGTTGTAGTACTTACACGGACAAAAGCACAATGGCAATCAGGGTCCATACGGGAGTTTTGTGAATAATATTTGTATTTGTTAACCTGGAAAAAAAACACCACAAGCATTAACAGTTGTATTACTTCAGAAATTGTTAAGAGTGATGTAAAACCAATAATAAGTCAACTTTTTATGTCTACTTTTTTTAAAAAATGGGCTTGCTCACACTAGCCCACAAAATTATCTATAGGTAAAAGGTTCTATACATAATTCATCCAAACCAGGGTTATTTGACGAAAGAGGTATCATTTCAATGGCGATATAAGAAATGTAAAACTACTTCCACTTTTCACATTCAATGGCAGCCTTTAAAAATGACAGATGCCTTCTTATTAATTGGGGGTATACTATGCAAAAAGGGACGCGGGTGGCACTGTGGGTTAAACCACAGAGCTAGGACTTGCCAGAAGGTTGGCGGTTCAAATCCCCGCAAAGGTGTGAGCTCCCGTTGCTCGGTCCCTGCTCCTGCCAACCTAGCAGTTCGAAAGCACATCAAGTGCAAGTAGATAAATAGGTACCGCTCCGGCGGGAAGGTAAACGGCATTTCCGTGCACTGCTCTGGTTTGCCAGAAGCGGCTTAGTCATGCTGGCCACATGACCAGGAAGCTGTACGCCGGCTCCCTCGGCCAATAAAGTGAGATGAGCGCCGGAACCCCAGACAGAGTCGGTCACGACTGGACCTAATGGTCAGGGGTCCCTTTACCTTTACTATGCAAAAATGCAAATTATGTTATTACTAGTCATTTACTTACTATATGTATTTGACAGTGGTTTTGTGAACCTCTCTGGGATTCTCTAAACTAAATACATTAGCCTGCCTTTCCTCCAAGGAACTTAAAGTAGCTTCTTCTTCCCACAGACTATCCACTTTATCCTCATGACAACCCTATTGTTCCCCAACCTTGGGTCTCCAGCTGTTTTTGGACTACAGTTACCATCATCCGTGACCATTTGTCTTGCTAGCTAGGGATGATGGGAGTTGTAGTCCAAAAACAGCTGGAGACCCAAGGTTGGGAAACACCAAAGAAGATAAATCAGAGAGACAGTTAGAGGACTACGGTCGCCCAGCAAGCTACACGGCCCACAGAGATATGAACCGAGGTCTCCCCATGCATCTTGAGGCAAGAAAAGCAAATCATACATAAAATTAACATCTTGCACAGGGCATCACAATTCATACTTCCACAGCTGGGGTCTAGCTAGGGGGCAGGAGCAGAAAAGCTTTTTCAGCCTCAGAGCAACCTTCCAGGGGCCATATGCAGTAAGTAGTGCAAGGGGCCAGAGCCAAAACTGGGTGGAGCCACAAATGTAAATATTGCATTAGTACAGTAGACTAGTTTTGACACACCCTCCCTTTGAGTAAGCAAATGGCATTACCAGAGAAATTCAGGGACACGTTCCATCCAGGCAATAAACAGAGGGTGCAAAGGACGACTGGGGAAGGATGTAGCTAGGGAAGAGTTTGCAGCATGGGGAAAATCTCAAGGGTTGGATAGAGAAGCTTTGGAGGACCACATCTGGCCCCTAGCCCTGAGGTTACCCACCCCTGGCCTACTGACTCCTGCAGGACCAATATTACAGCACAATAAAAATTTTATAGCACCAGAATTCCTCTCTTTAGAGTCATACCTGTGTCTGGTTTTATCGATTTATTGAATTCAACCTTCGCTACCTTACGGGATATCTTTGGGAGAAGAAAAGGCTAAGCAGTAAATCATTTTCTGGATTCACTCAGTACCTGTCAGAAATTCTACTTTTTCCACATAAATTTGGATGTGTTCCTCAAAGATAGCCCACTCCTTTCACTTTTGAAAGGAAAGTAAAGTTAAGATAAAAGAAGAGATTAAAGAAATATTGAAATGCGTTTAAGCTAGTTGGAAAAATATAGTAGCGTAACAAGAACGGCTGGAAGCCAAGTCACTTGGTGGGTGTCCGTATATGGGATAGGTGTGAAGGTATGTTGATATATATAGTATAAAAGGTAAAGGGACCCCTGACCATTAGGTCCAGTCGTGACTGACTCTGGGGTTGCAGCGCTCATCTCGCTCTATAGGCCGAGGGAGATGGCATTTGTCCGCAGACAGCTTCTGGGTCATGTGGCCAGTGTGACTAAGCCACTTCTGGCGAACCACAGTAGCGCACGGAAACACCGTTTACCTTCCCGCTGGAGTGGTACCTATTTATCTACTTGCACTTTGACGTACTTTCGAACTGCTAGGTTGGCAGGAGCAGGGACCGAGCAACGGGAGCTCACCCCGTCGCTGGGATTCGAACTGCCGACCTTCATGATCATCAAGTCCTAGGCTCTGTGCTTTAACCCACAGCACCACCCGCGTCCCTATGTATAGTATAGGTAGGTATTATATAGAGTAATGTAGGTATGTTTTATGTTATGAAAATTAGGTAGTCTGTTGTGTACGTGTATTGTGTAAATGTATATGTATGTGTTTTATATGTTAATGAAAATAAATAAATTATGAAAAAGAAAGAAAAGGCTAAGCAGTAAATCCTACACAAATCCAGAGTGGAGTCCCTACGATAGTTGGATGACACCTTGTATATCGCCTTCCAACGACTCCTGCAGCCAAGCTGGTGCCAAACATCTTGCTCTCCTTTCCTTTGGACCATATCAAAGACTGTCATCTGGGCAGTCCAGGATCTCCAATGACACGGCCCAAGCTTGCGCCCCCGGAAAGTAATGAATGCCGCAGTTTGACATCACCCCCAGAGGCACACTCCATTGTCTCTAGAGACAGGTGGATAACAACAATACTGTTCCTTCTCTCAAAAAAGCTCATGGTAGCACTCAGTGACAATGTTTTGAGAACATAAAATCGTAGAATCATACGAGTTGGAAGGGACCACAAGGGTCATCTAGTCCAACCCCCTGCAATGCAGGAATTTACTTCTTCTTCCTTTCTTTCCATCCCTTACCCCGCCACCCACATGGTTCTTTTCTACTCAGTTTGGGAAAGTACTCTGAAAATAAACTTCCAATATCATCTTGGAAAAGGCAGACAAAATGATGGCACATATTATCTTTAGAAAAACATACAGAATTATCATTAGTCCCTGAAGTTCAACCCCACCCCACCCCACCCCCCCACTAAGGAGATTCTTGCATCCTGGTCCTAATCAGATACAAAACAGATCATCTAATGTTAATTAAAGCCAAAGTGCAAACTGACTAGGAAGTAAGCGCCAATGAACTCCATAGCAGTGTTTGAAATTAGCCAGGCGCCAGGCGCATTTTGCACCTCGCTTTTGACTACTTGTGACCAAGTGAAGATGCCTGGGTACCAGGATGGCACCTTATATCTCCACCATCTGGAAGTGCATGCCTAGGGATCATTGGATCTGAACTGTTTACACATACTAATACTCCATCTTGTCGAATTCTATCAATCCTATTTTACCTGCACAATCAGAATGAATTTCTGGAACCAAATTGCTCTTTCTGTGCAGCCTGAGCAGGAGCAGTCACCATTAAGAAAGAGAGGTCGGAATAGGCCAATACATATTGTGAAATGTCCCTGGATCAAGCGACTTTTCTTTTTTAAAATTCTCAAAGCTCTTAACCTAGTCCTAGATCAATTGCCAGATGTTTAACTGAGAATCAATCAGTCAGTCCATCCTTTGCCCCAAAATGGCAACTAGACATTCCATTTTCGCAACTGTAACCTTGGTTTAAGGAGCCATTTGGCAGCTAGCTTATATATCTGAGTTTCTAATACAGTGGTGCCCCGCAAGACGAATGCCTCGCAAGACGGAAAACCCGCTAGATGAAAGGGTTTTCCGTTTGCGATGCGCTTCGCAAGACAAATTTCCCTATGGGCTTGCTTCGCAAGACGAAAACGTCTTGTGAGTCTCGCCATTTTTCCCCCGCTTTCCCCCCCACTAATAGCCTTTTAGCAGCTTAGCCGCTAATCCTTTAATAGCCGCTAAGCCGCTAAATCGCTAATAGCGCTAATCCTCTTAGCCGCTAATGGGGTTGCTTCGCAAGATGAAAAAACCGCTAGACGAAGAGAATCGCGGAACGGATTATTTTCGTCTTGCGAGGCACCACTGTACTGCTCTGTAGGATTTGCTTCCAGGAAAACATATTCAGAAGAGGGGTTTTTTTTTTCATTAGTTTTTTTTAAGGGCTTGTGGCAGTATGGAAAAAGCCCCACTCTATGCATAGCGAGGTGTACTTGCAAATAAGAGACGGAACAAAAGGCTGAAGGTCTGGACTCTATGCTGATGACAGTGCTAAACACTTACAAAGAAAGGCCTGACAGAATCATTCTGACAGGCAATTCATATGTAACCTTCCAGCTAATCAGCCCCGATGAGATACAATGGAAGAGACAGGTCCAAAAATCACTGGGGAGAGCTCTGTCAAACAGCAGAGAACGCGGCTTTGTTTCGGTGCCCTACAAGGAGGCACTATTGATCACAGCTCAAGAAGGCATCATTCTCGTACACAAACGGAGAGATGCAGTTATTTGTGTCAATTAACTCTCATTCAATGTCAGTATTGATTGGCAAGGTCTCAACACTAGTTGTTGCCATCAATATGCTCCTTACAGCGGAGACACCAACAATCCGCTCGGCGGAGCAAGGCAAGGCGGAGACGGCTGCATGGCTAGACGGGAGGAGAGGCCGGGGTTCCTCAAGACAGAAGCCGTCAGCTCCAACTCCTGTCCCAGAGCAAGTTTCTCACCTGCACAGCGGTAGCGAAGGAGCCACTTCAAGAAGGAAGCATGCAACCTACAGGTGTGAAGCCTTAAATAATGAGGAGCAGGGAAAGGGCAGTCGCTTTCAGAGACAAGCTGTGCGTCGACGCCAAGGCCTCAGAAGAGAAAGAAAGCTTTCAGGAAACAGTCAAGAGCATGTCCCATGTAAAAATGGTTCACTAGTTCTACCAGCTAACACTATTTGCCTTGGCGCGGCACAAGTCAATAGGGTGGAAAATAGAATTTCTCTTCTTTTAAAAGTTATTAGCCCATATTGCTTTGCTAAATGTCAGGCAAAATGCATGTGCCTTTCAAATGCAAACCCTCCGGAAACGAAACACACCACAAACATTTGGTTGGAGGTGGCAAGTTTAACCAAGGCTGGAAGCAATGGTGGTTTCACTTATAATAATAATCATTTTATTATTTGTACTCCGCCCATCTGACTGGGTTGCCCCAGCCACTTTGCTTCCAGCATATATAATAACATAAGAAAACATTAAAGATTAAAAACTTCCCTATATAGGGCTGCCTTCAGGTGTCTTCTAAAGGTTGTATAGTTAACATCCAAACCATGTAAGGTAAACGTGCATGTAATAAGCTGAAGACCATTCATTCAGAGGTGAACATGGTTGGATTTCTGCCTTGGACCAAGTAGAGCACTAGCAAAACCAGCTGCCAGCTGAAAAGGTCTAAAGCAGAGCCAGGGAACCTACTGCCCTGGAGCTGTTCCTGGACTACAATTCTCTGCCTCGGCCAGCAATGGTCAAGGATGATGGGGCTTTAAAGTCCTGCAGCATCTAAAGCAGAGCTTGCCTGATTTTTCATATTGGTGACACACTTTTTTTGGATGTGCATCATGCCGCGACACAGTAATTCAGTTTTGCATCATTTTGCAACACAGTAATTCAGTTTTGCATCATTTCGTGACACGGTAATTCAGTTTTACTAGCAAACTGGAGGTTAAACTAACCCTTTCCAGCCCTGGGAAGAGCGTGGGGAGCATTCGTGCGACACACCTACACACTGCAGCCAACACACTTAACGTGTCGTGACACAGTATGGAAAGCTCTGATCTAAAGGGCTACAGTTTCCCCAGCCATGACGTAAAGCTCTACTCTTCTTCCACTCAGCAAATTCCGAGTCAAAAAAACGAGTCAAGAAATATTGAGGACTGTTTTTATTTTTATTATTATCTCACTTGCAAACTTCCTCATTTGGCTTCTTTATTCCGCACTCCCCGCACCCCCCGCTGCTCCCTTCTTCGCTCGTCAACAAAATGACCCAGACGGCTCTGGAGATTATTTGACATCTCAGCTTTCGTAACAAAAGCATACAGGCACTGAGGGACTTTGCTTAGGAAGAACTATAACTGTTCCTAAAACGTCTCCAGAGAACTCTTTAGTGTACTTCCCAGCAGTGGAGATTGAATAAAATGGTGCACAGCCAAGGATGAACGGCACGCGCTCCTTTAAAAACCAATGGAGCTGAAAATGGCTGTTGCTCAGTTCACCACACGCTCTTTTAACCGTCGTTGGGGGTGGCGGTTGTTTGTTTTTGTAGCTAAATTCCCCTTCATAATGAACCATGCATTTTTAGAGCAGGGCTTCTCTCAGACTCAAACACACAAAAGAAATACCTGTCTTACCACCATTATTCTTTTAATTCTTGCTTTGCTATTACCACACTGCCTTTTAGCCACATACCAAGCTGTAATTAATGTAATTTCATCTGACAAGTGCCGATGGTTTTAATTTTAGTCACAATTAGTCTTTACAAAGGATTATTGCTGGGCATCATGAATGCCCTCTAGTTGTTATTGGACTCAAACCCTCTTCAGCTCCAGCCAACATGACCAATGGTCAGGGGTGATGGGGGTTGTAGTTCAACAATATCTGACAGGCCACAGACTTGGGCTTCCTCCTGACACACAATTTTACCTATCGTGTTTAATTTCTGGAGCTAAATGAATGCAGCATTGCATTATGACCATGTTTTGCAAATCCATTTCCAATAATGGTTGCAAAGAAGGTAGCCATGGTTAGCAAAAAACAAAAACCCACTAGTGCCGATATAATGCACAATGGTTTGTTTCCAGAATGAAAGAAGGCAGTTAGGAAAGCAAGATAGCATTAAGATTGCATGAGGTCACTGAAGGTGGAATAATATGTCTCTTAAAGTTGATCCTTCCTCTCTCTGCCTCCCTTCGAAGGAAAGGCGACCTTAATTTCCTCATCAGCGCAAACCACCATAATCCATCACAACCCATAGCTAATAAATAACCAAGTGTACAGGTTACCAAAAATACACTGAACAGAAATACACTCACCTAATGATCTTCTACACTTTTAAAAATATTTTAAGACTTATTATTTTATGTCCATTTTGGTTTGCCTCTCCCAAAAATTCATGGCATGCAGAGCTAACAATCGTGTGGCCCCTAGGATTCCACTTCTAAGGCCTCCCAAGCACTCCCTTCCTGCCACACAGCTGTGTAGGGCCTAAGCAGATCCATGACATCAGGGCAGCTAAGCCAATGGCATCAAGAGAGGTGGGGCAGGCAGAGGGGTCATAGGTTGAAGAGGAGACCGTAAAAGTGAAAACGTCAGAAGAAGTTGCAAAGAGAAATGCAGAACAGTTGGGGAAGATTCCAGATGTACCCGAATACATGCTCTCTGCATTCTGACAACATGATGCCAGGCTACGGATTACATTCATAACCAGTGAGCTCTAAACAAGCGATTGAACAATTTCATTGCTATCATTTATTTCTCACTCACCTACCATAACATGTTATAGGTGGCTTAAGGTAAAGGGACCCCTGACCATTAGGTCCAGTTGTGACCAACTCTGGGGTTGCACGCTCATTTCGCTCTATAAGCCGAGGGAGCCAGCGTTTGTCTGCAGACAGCTTTCAGGTCATGCGGCCAGCATGACTAAGCCACTTCTGCAAACCAGAGCAGCGCACTGAAACGCCGTTTACCTTCCCACCACAGCGGTACCTATTTATCTACTTGCACTTTGACGTGCTTTTGAACTGCTAGGTTGGCAGGAGCAGGGACCAAACAACGGGAGCTCACCCTGTAGCGGGGATTCAAACCGCCAACCTTCTGATCCGCAAGTCCTAGGCTCTGTGGTTTAACCCACAACGCCACCCGCACCCCTATAGGTGGCTTACTACTTAATTAAAAAGGAACAGTTGCATCATTTTTCAAGAATGAAAAATGATGAGGTTGTGTTCTTCCTTTCCCCCGACTCTTTCTTTCTCTCTCTCTCTCTCTCTCTCTCTCTCTCTCTCACACACACACACACACACACACAACAGAGTCCCTTCCAAACCAGCAAACTCAGCATATTTCACAGTGAAGTCTTTATTTTTGTGCTTAAAAAAAATCTCCGAAACGTAAACACCAGAAACTCTGCAATCAGAATATACAAACTGCAACTGCCTTCATGTGCAGCTTTAATCTAATGAATTCAGACAAGATTACTTTTAGAATGACAGTGATATTCTGATGGATGTACATATTTGCTTACTTTAGTTTGCAGAAGGTGGGGTTTTTCATTGCTTTGGTAAGAACAGATTGTGAACATGAAGACCAATATAGAACTCCCACATCCTGAACCCTTGAAGCAACAACAACAAAGCCAACACAATTTGCTAAACCTTTGAAACCCAGGACTAGAAGCTTGGTTTTAACATGCGAAACAAAAATAAGAAAATTCTGAGTAAAGATATCAGATTATGGGCAAGATGCCAGATTTTACACTACAAATTCACTATTATTTCAGATGTGGATGTTAGGTAAAATAAGCATGCTTCTGAATACATAGGAGCCGGATTTAGCCTTCAGCCACCCTGCTTTAGGAAACTTGGCAGGATACAATGACCCACAAGTATCATTACAACTTTAGGACTCCAATTCTTTACCCATGTTCTCACAATAAGGGATCGTAGCTTGCCACTCACTGGTGCCACTTAAGAATCATAGAATCATAAAGTTGAGACCACAAGGGTCAAATAGCCCAACCCCATGCAATGAAGGAATCTTTTGCTCAATGTGGTCCTTGAATCCACAACCTGGAGATTAAGAATTTCATGTTCTACTGACTGAGCTATCTCAGCAGTCAGCTCTGAGAGTCTTTTCTGCTTACCTGAACGTCTTAACGAGATCTTTAAGTTCACTGTAAACATCCCCAAGAGGAATCCGAAGAGGGCCCAAAACAGCAGGCAAACTGGAAAGAAAGTAAAATCAGGCCATTTATTAGCGAATGTACTCCCTTGAGAACACTGGTCATGAATGGCTCATTAAAAAAACCTCTCTTTGGCTTTGCTGGACTTTAGCCGACGCTCGCAATTTAGTCTCACCCCTTAAGTGATTCTCCCAATTCAACAAATGGCTCCCTTCTGGGTGTCTGAACAGCAGGTGTGAAAAAGGTACTTACACTTTTCGCAGCTTTTCGAGGACAATCCGTGTCCGGATCTGCTGCTGAGCTTTAGAATCTACAAGCGGGAGGGCAGGGGGCCGCTGATGATCACCCTACAGGGCACAACAAAAGTATTTTTTTGGAGGAGGGGGTGACATAAAATATATTTTTAAAACTGCACAGGAGGGCCATAGCTCAGTGGTAGATCATCTGCTTTGCATGCCAAAGGTCCCGGATTCAACCCCCAACTTCCCCAGGTAGGGCTGGGAAAATCTCTGCCTGAAACCCCAGACAGCCTCTACCAGTCAATGCAGACAATGCAAAGCTAGAAAGATGAACGTTTAACATAGGAAGCTGCCTTATACTGATTCAGAGCAGGGTTTCCCAAAACTTGAGTCTCTGGCTGTTTTCGGACTACAATTCCCATCATCCCCACTGGTCTCGCTAGCATCAGACTTCATTGGATACTAGCTACAGTTGGCAAAAACTTGTAATGTAGACCATTTTCAGTTCCAAAAAGGGAAGCAGGGGGTGGTTTGGAATTTGCACGTGAGAATGCAGGACCGTGCGTGAACAGACAGGAGGCAGGCATGCACCCAAGGCACTGCTCCTAATCTTTTACCTCCATTGTTACATCTGCATTATTATTGTCGTATTTACATGAATCTAACGCACACCTCAATTTTCAAAACCTCAAAATTCAAAAAAGTATCTGCTGGCGAATATAAACACGCCATCAAATCTAATGTGTGCCCTAATTTTCACGGCATATTTTGGCCAAACAAAGGTGTGCATTACATTCGAGTAAATACGGTATTCTTATTATTCGGCTTTGATGCACAGAGTTCTTCCATAAACCAAGGTTTACAAAAAGACTGCTTTTTTTGGAGGGGGTGTGTGCATGTCTGTAACCAGCCTACTTCTCTAGCAAGATACTTACATTGTCATTGCTGTGATGCTGCTCCCCTCTCGACAGGGTTGCCAGATCTTCTTCGCCTAAGGTGAAGTTTCCTCTGTAAAATTCCTGCACTTTTAACTCTAACTGCGAGGTCTCTTCTTTCAGTTTCTCGTAACTGGGTACAGGTTTCGCTGCTGGACTCGAGGCCTTGAAAGGCAACGGCTGGCTCAGAGGGTTCTGGGTGCCTCTCTCAGAAGCGGCTTTGTTAGGTTCGTTGTCACTCTCCAAGTCATCCTCGTCAAGCTCCTCCTCTTCCTCATGGCCAGCTGCCGGAGAGGGCTGCGGGGCATGGGTGGCTGCGGCGGAGCTGCCATGGAGGAGCTTCACCGTCTCCTCAGTCCTCCATTCGGTAAAGGTCTGCCTCAGCCCTTCTAGCAAGCTACATTTGGCAGTGAGGGGATTGGCTGGGCCTTCCGAGGAGGGCTTTGCAGTCTGTTTCGATTTGGCAAGCAACCTTTTAAATAGTTCTGCCCCTTTTGGGCTCATACCCAGGAAAACTACTTGCGAGCCGCTGGAGCTATCTCCAAAGCCTTCAGAGAGCTGGACAGTAGGACTGGATAGAGAAACAGGAGCTCCTTTAATCCGAGAGCTATCTAGAACATGTTCTTTTCCTTGAGTGTCTAATTTGCACCAACTTAACTGCTCTGCGGCATCATCAACAGAGGCGTCTGAATTGCTAGGTTTGGGTTGTGCTCTCTGCTTGCACTTCTCTTTGAGAATACCCTTCCTGGGCAATGGATGTACACTCTTTTCTTGCAGAACGGAGGAGACAAATTCTTGTTCGGCCTCACTGCTGCTCTCACTGTCTATGCTGGAGTCGCCCTGGGTCACTGCTGGGAGGGGGTTTTCAATGTCTAAAGTGTTGATTGCTTCGTTGACTAATTTCACTTCCTTCCCAGAGTGGCCACTGTTGGGGGTGGGGGTGGGGAAGCAAACAAATATAAAAACACATTGACGAAACAAAAAAGGATAAAATAAGTGAGAGGAGAATCTGACAGCTATAAAAGCACCACAGCAACTTTCAGCGTGGCTGCCCCCGCTCTACGGAACAGCATCCTGCTGAGATATGGAAGGCACCCATTTTCTGCAAATAACTGATTCATTTTTTTGTTTGTTTCTTTCAACAGGCTTTCCCAGCTGAGTGAAAAGGTTTCTGCCATAGGTGTTCGTTTTGCATTGATTCTAAACCCATCTTCATGTTTTTAAATTTGTTCTTGTCACTATTTTAGCTGTTTTTATGGTACAGTGGTACCTCAGGTTACATACGCTTCAGGTTACAGACTCCGCTAACCCAGAAATAGTACCTCGGGTTTAGAACTTTGCTTCAGGATGAGAACAGAAATTGTGCTCCGGCGGCGCAGTGGCAGCAGGAGGTCCCATTAGCTAAAGTGGTGCTTCAGGTTAAGAACAGTTTCAGGTTAAGAATGGATCTCCGGAACGAATTAAGTACTTAACCGGAGGTACCACTGTATGTCTTGAGACATGTATGTAAAGGGCAAGCCATAAATCAGGCATAGGCAAACTCGGCCCTCCAGATGTGTTGGGACTACAGTTCCCATCATCCCTGCCCACTGGTGCTGGTAGCTAGGGATCATGGGAGTTGTAGTCCCAAAACATCTGGAGGGCCGAGTTTGCCTATGCCTGCCATAAATTAATAACAAACAAACCAACAAGCATGCGTATTAACTAGAGATCTGAAGAGAGGGAAGGTCTTCACATTCGTGACAAGTGTGCTTTCCTAGGGAGGGAGTTACATCGAGTACCACCGCTGAGAAGGCTCTCTTTCTCTCTCTGCCATTATCTATACTACACTTTTCACAGAATCATAAAATTGTAGAGCTGATAGGGACCCCCTGCAACGCAGGAACCTACTACCCAAGGTGGGGCTCAAACCCACGACCCTGAGAAGCACCATTATGCCAATTTTAATAGTCATGGCTTCCCCCAGAGAATCCTGGGAACTGTAGTTTGTTAAGGGAACTGAGAGTTGTTAGGAGACCCCCTCATAGAGCAGCAAGTCCCAGAGTTCCCTGGAAAGAAAGACAGATAATAAAACCACTGTGGGAATCATAGCTTTGTTAAGTGTTTCCTAACAACTCTCCAGACTTAACGAACTACAGTTCCCAGGATCCTTTGGAGGAAGCCATTGCAGATTAAAGTGGTATGTTACTGCTTTAAATGCATCGTGCAGATGGGGCCTCTCTCTCCCTAGCTGCCACCTGCCTCGCTTTTGACGGCAGCGTCACCCAGAGGAGAGCCCCAGATGATTGATGCTTTCTGCCAATGGGCAGGCTGATGTGGAGGCAGGCGTTCCCTCTCAAGTACAGTGGATGCTTGGGTTGTGAACGTGATCTGTGCGGGATGCACGTTTGCAACCCGCAGCGTTTGCGACCCGCAGCTGCGCGTCTGCGCATGCGCGGTTGCAATTTGGCACTTCTGCGCATGTACAAAGCGTGATTTAGCTCTTCTGCGCATGCGCGGCCTCTGAAACCTGGAAGTAACCCGTTCCGGTACTTCCGGGTTTTGGCGGTCCGTAACCTGAAAGAACGCAACCTGAAGCATCTGTAACCCGAGGTATGACTGTACTGTATTGGCTTGAATGTAAGCCATACTGCCTCCCCCCCATTCTAACTGTGAAAAGTTAAAGTGTGGCTTATATTCAGAATTGAATGCTGCGCGCCCACCTCCTGGCACTACTGCCCTGAACAGGGGGCTGCCGGTGCCAGCTTGGGGAGGTAGTGCCGGGAGGCGCGCACCCGGTGCGCTCGAAACCGAGTGCCAGTGTCGGCTTGGGAAGCAGGGCGTCAAGCGTCGGCCAGCTGTCCCCCCCCCCGCCCCCATTCAGGGAGGTACAGCCGGGAGGCAGGTCGCACCCATAAATAAGCCTTGAATTTTAAAGGTGCGGCTTATTTGTGGGTGCATCTTATATTCGGGCCAATAAAGTACTTTTGGGCATGGGGATAAAGTGTACCTAAGCAACTGGACCTTTGAGAAACACCAGTTTCATAAATTTCTGGATTGGTAAAGAAAGGGATTTTTTTTAAAAAAACCAAATAAATAGATCCTATTTCTACGACAACAAGCATGACACAGATCCTCCCTGCCCCCAGTGATATACTAGAAGAGCAACTGCTGTGAAATTGCATTCTGCTCTAGATGCAGACAAAGTACAGACCACTAGAAACCAAGCAAAATAAAGCCATTGAAACACGCACACACAAAACCCACCACAGATTGCAGATCCGGCCAAAGCTTTCTCTCTCCTTTTAAATGAATACAAAACCAGTGGATCTGCCCATTTGACATTTTACCTGAAGATGTAAACAAGCTTTCGGCACATATAATTGGTCTCATTTCAGTTACAAAGAGAGTCACATACAAAACACCGATGCTTCGGGCCCGAGAGCAAACACTGTGCTTGTGTCATGTTTCAACAGGTCCGATTGTGCCGCAGCACTAGGGGCAGCTGTAAATCATACAGATCAAACAGACCCTTCGCCATCACAAAAGGGGGAAACAATCAAGGCAAACAGCTCTTTCTGGAGGCCGGCAAGAGCCGTGGCCGTGTGACAGAAGAGAACAGGAAATCAAAGACTTCTTTCAACCAGATTGTGGATACATAAATGAAACCACCACTTCTACCGTACCTTTCCCCATCCTTCAGCAATTCAATGTCTGGTGGCCTTGGAAAACAAAAAACAAAGTGCATTTTAGAAATTAAATTGATTCTGAGCAATGAGTCGAGAACTGGGGTTTACAGCTAGAGTAGTCTGGCAATGATTTAAAAGGTTTATCATAGACCTGTAGAGTTGGAAGAGACCCTGAGGATCATCTAAGTCCAACCCCCTGCAATGAAGGAATAGGCAGCTGGATCAAACCTGCAACCCTGGCATTATCAGCACAGTGCTCTAACCAACTGAGCTATCCAGGCTGGTAAACAACATTAACCCACCTAAGCAGATCCAATAATTTGGGGAGAGGAGAACCACTGCTAATGGTCAATTCTGACCTGCAAGTTTACGTGCCTAAAGCCACATGAATAGGAAGCATCGGGATAAGTTTGAAAACCATACAGCACAGTCCTAGGCATGTTTACTCAGAAGTAAGTCCCGCTGCTTTCCCTGGTGCTTACTCCCTAGTTATGCATGTTTAAGACTAAAACTTGAATCTTCAAATAGTTGGGCTAAGAATGGTAACATATGACGGGGCAGGGCAGCAGCACTTATCTGACCTCCAGGCAGGTGGGTCACTGCTGCCGTTTGCTGGAAGAAGAGTGGGAGGGGCAAGGGGCCGGTCAGCAAGGTGCAAACTCACTGGCAATGGAACTAATACGGTATTGACCATCACGCCATCCTGCTGTCTGCTACTGGCTTAGAATGTATCGGGAGAAAACAATCCTAGCCAGAAATGTTCTTTGCATCCATTCCAACTGCTCAATTTGGACCTGATGGCAATGGGGAAGCAATATGCTGGAGGCGATTCCAAAGGCCATGGAAGAACAATGCAGTTCCAGGTGAAAATGTGCTCTCACAAATTTTTTTTTTTGGGGGGGGGGGAGCCTTAAAGTATCATAAGAATACCTAAAACTGGTGCTCAGCAGCTCTTTCTGATATGACTTTGTGATATGTCAGGAGTTGTCTTCATCTCCATGTTATTTTGTCTTTAGAAAAACCTTTTTGGGTGCAACTATTCCTGGATCAAGGACTATATGTGTTGGCAATGATTTTTTTTGCAATGTGTTTAGCATCGCTATTGGGTGGGAGGTGGGCAGGTTTCTAAAGCTGGCGTCATTTAAATGGGGAAAAAAGAAAGCCTCACAGCAGCATACTTTTGGATACTGCACTTATCTCAGAATAACTTCATGCAATTCAAGTGAAGTTTTACTTTTTTGGTCTGAAAGCACAAAAAGAAAATGTTCTTCCAACTTCCGGAATTTAGAAATAATCTATTCAGGACTGATACCTAGTAATAGATTATTGGTTCTGATTTTTTAAACAATATCCACATGTGTTACCTGGAACTGGCCTTTAATAAGGTGGTGGGTTTTTTGCTGTATTTCTTTGGCATTTTGCCTCTGAATAGTGAGATGGTGACACCCAGTGGCAACTTGGTTATTTGCAAGTCACAATTTTTCTCTTTAGCCTAATCAGATTCCTTTCCTGCCTCCTAGGTTGACTAGTCCAGTGTTTCCCAACCTTGGGCCTCCAGCTGTTTTTGAACTACAATTCCCATCATCCCTGACCACTGGTCTTGCTAGCTAGGGATGATGGGAGTTGTAGTCCAAAAACAGCTGGAGGCCCAAGGTTGGGAAACACTGGACTAGTCTATTAGGCATGTGTCCTGTTTCCAGGTTAATAAGGGTTTGAGCCTGCTATTGCACCTGAATAGCCAGCTGGGGGGAAAATCTTCTCCATCCCTGGACTACATCTTTTGACAAAGGGTATTATCTTGAAACACACTGAAAAGAAAAGAATAGTGTATTTTTCTACGCATGTTTTTGGTGTTGTCTTCCTTTCAAATGATGCCCCAGATCAAAACCCTGGGCCTAGCCAAACAACATTATCCAATTACCTTTCTTCTTCTCGCAGCCACACAGGACTTTTTGAAATCTGAGCTTCGAAGTATTTTGATGCTCTGTAGCAGAAGTTACTGCAAAAACACTGCCCCCCCCCAAAGAGAACAGCAAATGTCATTTTCATACTTAACAAAATTGATATACACTTGATAAAAACTTTGATAAAAACTTTGATAGATTGGTGAGTGTGAAGAATCAACTAACACACTGAATACAGATTATTAACATTTTAAGATCAGTTGCTAAGAACCGGAAGTTGGATGCAGTGCAAGAGCAATTATTCTCTGCCTATGAGTTCCAATCTAGTCATGTGTCACAAAGCTCAGCAAATCAGCTTGTACTGACTTCATTACGCTGCAAGTTGCTCTTTCTGTGGCTCTGAACTGGTAGGGCATGAAGAGGTACTTGGCAAAGGAACTTAAAGAGCTGAAGAAGCCAATAGCAGCAAGAAATAGCAACCCAGAACCTTGCATGTAGCCAGCATTACACCTCTAGAGCCCTCGGCAACACTGAACCAATTTCTTGCAAAACAACAATAAACGAAGAAGTGATGATGTAACAAACAGCTTTTAAACTTACCTTTCTTTCAGTAATATCATACACTTTGTTTGTTTTGGTTGATATTTTGTACTTTTGTTTTGGCACCTAAAAACAAACAAACCACAAACACAGTTTTGCAAATGTGTCAGTGCTCCCTTTAGCATTCCTCTCCTCTAAAATAATATTCCATAATTAACACTACTGACCAAACCACATTATGTTTAACTGAGCTTCTCAAACCACACTTCTGAAAATTGCTGACAATTTTTGTTTAAATGCTGAGGACTTCAGCTTGCATTTGAAGCTTGAGATGTGGAGAGCAACATGCTGCCCCACCCCCGACCTAAGCTATATCAATTTTTAAAAATAGAAATCCTTAGGCTCTGTAAGAAAAGCCAAATACCTGAATTGGACACAACAATGAATGCATAGCACAACATAACAATGCATTGTTATGTACATGAGCCTTGTGCTCCTCTGGCACAACTGCAAGATCAAAAGCTTTTGCTTCCATTTTTGATCAACCATAGTTTAGCATTACATACAAAACCTAAACTGTGGCTAATATTAACTATGGTTTATTGAAACAAGCCAGCTTCATAAACCAAGGTTTGAAGTTGGCTTGTTTGGGTAAATCATAGTTAAGACTAATCACATTTTGTCTGAATTCAAACCTAATGCTAAGCTGCAGTTAGTCGAAAATAGAAGCAAAAGCTTTTGATCTCCTCATCTTGGCCACATTGGGGAGGGAAAGGGGGCACCCAAAATCACTGACAGGGAAAGGTGGCCAATGTGCAAACAAATAATCTTGACTCAAGTCTCCTGTATTAATTACTGTGCTGTTTTAATGGGATTGCTTTATTGCATATTTTAATTATGGATCTTTATATGTTGCTGTTTTGATGAGACTGTTTTATTGTTTATTTTAATTGGGCATTTTAATTATGGATGCTTGTATTTAATGCGTGTTTAATTGGGTTTTGTTCTTGTAAACTGCTTTGGCATTAAGTGGCATATAAATTAAATAATCATCTAAAGCTGTGGAGCCCTGGGTTCAAATCCTCACTTAGCCAATTAGCTTAATAGGTGACTTTGGCCAAGCCACTGTCTCTCAACCAACCTTCTCCAACATGGTGCCCTACAGAATTTTGAACTACAACTTCTATCAGCCTTAACTACTGGCCATGCTGGCTGGAGCTGATGCGAGTTACAGTCCATATTATCTGGAAGGCATCAGATTATGAAAGGCTGATCTACACAAAGATGACCAAGGATTCCTGTCCATACATCAGGGAAGTTCAGTTGACCAGACACCACATTCCAACACAGAAAGACAGATGCAAAACTGCAGAAATATAAAGAAGCCACTCATAGATTCTTACATTCTGTAGCCTCTTTTGGCATATGGGGTAGCCACACAACTTGATGATAAAGCGTTCTTCCACAACATCCTTATAGTGAGGAGGTGTTATAATCTTCCCCTGAAAATATGAAAACACACAGACGTAAGTTACAGGGTACTGCCTTGAAACTCAAAACAAATAAAAAGTTTAGAATAGGAAAAAGCGTTTTCAAGAAACCAAAGCACCAGAAAATTGGAAAAGGAACAGAAACTGCGAACAATGACAAAGGGAGTCTATCTTTTAGATTCTCTCTCTAATTTTTTTAGAGCCACAACTGCTTTTCCTCTGGCAGGATGGAACAGAACAGAGACCGCTTAAAATATTTTGCATAAATGATGCACATCTTCCAGCTGCCATCACTTGTGGTGCTTATATGCATGACTATGCAATTATGATTACTCAGAGGTCACATTTTCTTCAATGAGGCTTATTTCCAAGTAGGTGGCTGCAACATTCAATTTGCTTCAGGTCGCCCAGCAAGAGTGCAATGTACCTTACTCTCTTAGAAGGGTTTTAAAGAATGAAACATTAAGTTCTGAAAATGCAATAAAACATTGTTTTGTTTGTTTTTACTGGAAGTCTTTTTCATGGAAATCCATGGAGTCTCCCACCAACACCCAAAGGAAAGGTGCCTCAGATTGGGCTGTCAGAATATGTAGGAGCCCTGAAAACTAAGAGTCTGAGTTACAAATAAGGAAGTCTCCCATTTCAGACTCATCTCCGTGATGAGCTCATTGTGCAGCCTTAGAGAAGTCACTATCTTCCCACTTCAGTGCATCTATCTGCAAAATTGGGGAACAAAAAATGCCTTACAGCAGTGATGGGGAACATCAGGCCTGCAGGGGTGGGGGGCAAACTCTAGGTCTGTATCTCTCTGAGCTCTCCTCATACCACGTCCCTTTTCTACAAGCCACACCCCTCGCTGGCACTGTTTCACACTTTGAGTGTTTATGCCTGGCTGGAATATGTCCTTGAACTCTGATAATGCCTCTTGTTTGTCTGGATGGGATTACAAATATCTGATGGGACTCCGTAGTATCGGCTACTCCCTCAAATCTTCCAGGACACCTGCTGCTTGTAAGAGAGGAGCAAATAAGGCAGGAGTGGAGTGTCCAATGCAGCCCGTGGGCTGAAAATGCCCTGCCCTAAGAGAAGGCATTAATATGGGTTGTTTGGTAGAGACCAAAACTCTTTTCAGGGTTGAGGAGATCTAAACAATCGTCTGACACCACAATCCTATGCATGTCTAGTAAGATGTAAGACCCACTTTGTTCAAGGGGACTTACTCCCACATAAGGGTGTATTGGGTCACAGCTTGAACTGTACAGAGTAGCATTAAAAAGATCAAGGAACTCCCTAACTCCTAAGCTCTGTTCTAGTACTACTACAAGCAATTTACTAGGACTGGAAATCTTGCAAGTGCCACTCTGGGAAAAGCTGGTCGTACTTCAGGACCATCCACAGTGTGCCATGTTTTTTTAATTCCACCCTCAAGCTTGTCACACTATTTCCTGTTTTAAGCAAAAGAAGATCCCTCCTTTGTCCCAACTTTGCTACCGTATCCTGCCTTAATGAGCTACATGATTTAAGTAAAATCAGAGAAACTTAGGTTAGCCACAACCAGTCTGTAAGTTTCTAATAGGTATATGCATCTCTGCATGAAAATTGAAGGGACAAAGAATGCAAACGTAAGATGCGCCTTTGATTTTAATGGGACTTGTGCACTGGAACACAGCATGCTTTCATTCAGTAAGCCTCATTTAAAACATTGGGACTCATTCCTGAGCAAACACAGAAGTGCATCGCTGTCTGCAAACTACGTCTGGACTGGGATGAGTGTGCAGATGATATACAGAAGGCTGGCAAAAGCTTATCCAACAGTAACAGCAAACTTTTTGAAACACAAAGCAGTATAAAACTTGCCAAGAAAAAGAGGACCTACACAATCCACAAGGAATTCTTCTGTAATATCTTCTTCCAACAGACGTTCAACAACCTGCAAGGCTTTTCGCTCAGCCTCAATCTTCTTTCTAATGGCAGCTTCAAGCGCCGCCTTCCTACAAGAGAACAAATTAGCCGTATGAAACCTGTGGCCTTACAGATGTTGTTGGTTTAACAGTATTTGGTTTAACTATGCTATGTTTAGAGATATGATACCTTTGTGCAGCATCTTCATTTTTCAAAGCACTCGACTGTTTCTTTCCTAGAAACAATAATATGCAAATGTCAGGGAACTGCCATCGGAAGGACAGGAGGTGGAAGGGCTCACAGAGGTTGAGAGAGATTTAGCAGCGGAAGAGGGAACCAGCAGGGGGAGAGAAGGAGCTCCAAGGGAAAGTGAGTCGGAGGGATGGCTCAGGGACACTTCCAGCGAAAATAGTGGGGAGGTTTCAGGACCTCCTATAGGGACACCCACTCCTCGCCGGAAACTGTCGCGCAGAGAGTCCAGAAGACGTGTTTCCGTTAAGGAGCTTTTATGCTGGAAGAGATTCCGTAAGCGCCCACTGTCGGATTCTGCTAGCGACTGACGGAGCCATGCTCAAGGGGCTCCGTTACCGGCAGAGGTTTGCGGACTTAGCAAAACTCTGAGGGACCAGGATTTAATGCACAAGCAGCTCATCATCCCATCACAGCAATCCGACAGTCCCTGAAAGCAGCTTGTGCAGGGAGAGGCATCATGAGCAACCCAGCCGAAACCGGAGAAGCAGGAGGAGCTGGAGCGGGTCCAAGCCTGGAAGAAAGGTACAGGGCGTTGGAAGTCCAGCTAGCGCTGCAGACGGCGAGGCTCGAGGAGAGGAGGGCTCAGGATGCAGGAAAGGGAAAAACCACCCCGCTCGCAAGAAAGGTGCCAGGATTGGTGCAGAAGTTGGGGGGGGATCCCAGGAACTATCAAGCCTTTAGGACAGAGATGCAATATGCTCTCAATCTGCAGTTTGATGAATTTCCCGACGAGGAATCGCGAGTGGCTTTTGTGATTGGCCATCTCGAAGCGGGGGTGAAGGACTGGGTTAGACCCCTGATGGCAGTGAATAATGACATCCTAAAGGACACGAGGAAGTTTTTTCGCGCCATGGACCTGATGTTTTCCAGCGACATTGAGCAGGGAGTGGCGCGCAGACAGTTAATGGCTTGCAAACAGGGGAGCCGATCTGTCCGTGAGTACTGGACTGAGTTTACCATGTTGATCCACAAATTGGGGTGGGATCTATCGGCGGAACCCATACAAATGCTTTTCGAAGAAGGGCTTTCTTCGGCGGTGAAAGATGAACTTTCCCGGGCGCCTAGGGCGGAGTCTATGGACCAGCTGACCAAATCCGCGCTGACCATAGGAGCACGCCAGGAGGCGAGAGCGTTGGAGAAGCGGGAAGGGAGAGGGGAACATTGGAGGGATTTCCACATTCCAGAGATTCCAGAGCCACCTTTCCCGCCAGCAGAGCCGATGGAAATTGGAACAGCGCGCGCGCGCAGTTTCAAATCCCAGTGAAGGGCGGAAGAAGGAGGGGAAGAGCGCCAAGAAATGTTATCTCTGCCAACAGCCAGGTCACTTTGCCAGAGTCTGCCCACAAAGAAAGGAATGGCAAGGGATGGCGGGAGCTGTTGGGGGAAAAGAGGAGGAAGGCAAGGAGCAAGTAAAAGCCAACGCCTGGCTGCCACCGTCGGGGCACAGCAGCCAGGCCAAAGAGCAGTGAAAGTGCCCACGCCGGAACCTCCAAGACCAGCCCTAGTGATAGAAGTGTTGCTAGAGTTGCCAAACGGACACCCACTAAAGATAAAGGCGCTATTGGACTCAGGCAGCTCCTGTAATTTCATGAGTAAGGAGTTTGCAGCTGAGCACCAGATACAGACTATCCCTTTAAGTAATCCCTTGCAGGTGACCACGATCGATGGGCGGGAGCTGCTAGGAGGAGAAGTTAGCCAGCAGACGGTCCCAATGATAACGAAGGTGGCCAGGCATACCGAACGGATAGCGTTTAATGTGGCTACCTTGGGAGGAGCTCCCATTATTTTGGGGATGAGCTGGCTGGCGCTACACGATCCACTAGTGGGCTGGCATCAGAGAGTGGTCTCCTTTGGGTCAGTGCATTGCATAGAACACTGCAAAGAGGGGAAGGCTCCGGAAGGGGCCAGAGCCACCCTAGCAGGGACGGAAGTAACGGATAAAGGGAAGGTGCCCCTACAATACGCCGATCTGGGGAACGTCTTCAGTGAAAGGGAAGCAGACAAACTGCCGCCGCATAGACCCTTTGACTGTCAAATCAATCTACTCCCTGGGGCCCAGCTCCCAGTGGGCAAGCTGTACGCCATGTCAGACAGGGAGATGCAGGAATTAAGGGAGTTCATTGACAAGAACCTGAAGCGAGGTTTCATCAGAGAGTCCCGAGCGGTGGGGGGCAGCCCAGTGTTTTTTGTGGACAAAAAAAATGCAGACAAACCGAGGCTTGTAGTGGACTATCGGGCCCTGAATGCAGTGTCGGAACCTCTGGCTTTCCCTATGCCCCGAATTGATGACATTTTGACCAGGGTGAGGAAAGGAAAGATTTTTACGAAACTGGACCTGAGGGGGGCGTACAACCTGATACGAATAAGGAAAGGGGATGAATGGAAAACCACCATGTTCACCCCTTTGGGGGCCTTTGAATATCTCGTTATGCCCTTCGGTCTACAAGCAGGCTCAGCGTGTTTTCAATTGTTTATGAACCACGTCCTGGGACCTTTGCTATACAAGAACTGTGTGGCCTTCTTAGACGATGTGTTGGTATATTCAGAGAATGAGGAGCAGCATGTAAGGGACGTCCGAGAAGTGTTGGGCAAGCTGCAAGCAAACCAGCTGTGGGTCAAACTGGAGAAGTGTCAGTTTCACACCAAGGAGGTGGAATTCCTGGGGTACCGCTTGTCAGACAAGGGATTGGCCATGGATCCAGGCAAGGTCCAGGCGGTGCTGGAATGGAAGACACCGAAAACAAAGAAGGATGTGCAAAGATTCCTAGGGTTTGGAAACTTTTACCGGAAGTTCATCAAGAACTTTGCCCACTTGACGGCGCCCATCACTGACTGTCTCAGCAGCAAGAAGAAATTTGTTTGGACGGCGGAGGCGGAGCGAGCATTTGAAGAACTGAAAAGGGCGTTCGCCTCGGAAGAACAACTCCTGCATGTGGATTTACAAAAACCTATGAGAGTGGAAACCGACGCATCAGACAGAGCGGTAGGGGCGGTGCTTCTACAACCGGGGAAGAGTAAGTCGGAGTGGAGACCATGTGCCTTCTTCTCACAAAAGCTGAATAAATCCGAGAGGAACTACACGGTGTATGACCGAGAACTACTCGCCATTCACGAAGCGTTCCGGAGATGGAGACATTTACTAATTGGTGCACAACGTAAGGTGCAAGTGTGCACCGACCACAAGAATTTAGAGTATTGGAGAACGGCACGAGTACTCAACCAACGACAAGTGAGATGGGCCCAGGAGTTCTCCAAATTCCACTTTGAAATTGGTTACGTGCCAGGCCCAGAAAACGTCAGGGCGGAAGCTCTCTCCCGCAAACCTGAATATTTAGAGGGGGAGGGGGCGCCCGAAGAGAGACATATCATCCCAGAGGACCGATGGGTGTGTGGGGCGGCACTGGTGGGGCAAAGAGAACTGGTAGAGGAAACGGAGAATGATCAATACGCCCAGGATAAGCTCAGAGGTCTCAGGGGGGAGGGAGAGAACCCCGGAGGGTTTGAGGAAAGAAACGGGGCATTGTATTACAAAGGGGCACTGTACATACCCGAAGGAGAACTGAGGGGGAGAGTACTCAAGCAGTTGCACGACAGCCCCACAGCGGGGCATTTTGGGCAACACAAGACCATGTGGTTGGTCACCAGGGAATTTTGGTGGCCCAAGGTGAGGGAAGATGTACGGGAGTATGTAAGAGGGTGTGACCAATGCCAGCGAGCCAAAGGGGAAAGGCGGGCGCCGGCGGGGTTATTAGAACCGTTACCCACACCAGAACGACCATGGGAGGCGGTGTCGATAGATTTTATGACGGATCTGCCGAGGTCCAAGGGGAAAACAGCCATCATGGTAGTAGTAGACCTGTTAACAAAGATGTGCCACTTTGTAGCATGCTCACATGCAGTCACAGCGGAAGAGACAGCGAAATTGTTTGTAGAACACATTTTTAGGTTGCATGGCGCCCCCTTGAGGGTGGTCTCAGACAGAGGCAAACAATTTACGTCCAGGTTCTGGAGGAAGCTCATGAGCTTACTGCACGTGGAGGTCAACTTTTCGACTGCCCGGCATCCTGAAACCAACGGGCAGGCGGAAAGAGCAAACGGTATCCTCCAACAATACCTGAGGTGTTATGTCAATGACAGAGAAAACGATTGGGTCGAAAGGTTGGCGCTGGCAGAATTTGCCTACAATAATGCGGAAAATGTGTCTACTGGGATGAGCCCCTTTTTGGCTAATTATGGGTGTCACCCCAGGGCATTTCCAGGGGGGGAAGGGGAGAGATGGAGCGTCCCGGCAGCCGAGCATTTTGTAGAAGAAATGGAAGCGATCCATTGTCAGCTCCAGCTCAACTTAGAAAAGGCCAAAGAAGAATATAAGAGGCAGGCAGACAAGAACAGAAGGGAAGGTGAAACCATAAGGGTGGGGGATCAGGTGTGGCTGTCAACCCAAGGATTGCCGTTCAAAGGGGGTTGTAAGAAATTGAGACCCAAAAGATTGGGACCATTTGAGGTCATTCAACAGGTCAACCCAGTGGCTTTCAAACTCCGGTTACCCAACCACATGAAATTGCACCCAGTATTCCATAGGTCATTACTGTCACCGTATAGAGGGGGACGTGAAGGGGAGTCCACCAGGGGACCAGCCTTAGAAGAAAGGGAACGCAGCAGCCATGTAGCGGAAATCATCGATTCCAGGTGGAAGGGGAATCAGGTGGAGTATTTGGTGGCGTGGGAAGGGGAACCGGAGTCAGAAAACACCTGGGTAATGGCGGAGGATGTCAATGACGAGGTCTTAATAGAAACGTTCCATCAAAGGTTCCCGAGGAAACCTCAGTCTGTAGCAAGGTTCAGGAGGGAGTACTTCGGCACCACCGACGAGGAGGAGGAACTGGAAGGATTCACGGAATCGGAGTTGGAGGAAGGAATAGACTCTGATGAGGAGGAGTACCTGGAGACCAGGAACAGCAACCGGTGGAGGGAAGTGTTCGAGACTTCGGAAGATGAGGGAGGTTCCTTCAGGGGTTTTGCCTCCTCACCGCCCATAGAGGAGGGGACGGGAGGGGGTGAAGGGGGCCCTGGAGGGGAGGTGGATGTCAGGGAACTGCCATCGGAAGGACAGGAGGTGGAAGGGCTCACAGAGGTTGAGAGAGATTTAGCAGCGGAAGAGGGAACCAGCAGGGGGAGAGAAGGAGCTCCAAGGGAAAGTGAGTCGGAGGGATGGCTCAGGGACACTTCCAGCGAAAATAGTGGGGAGGTTTCAGGACCTCCTATAGGGACACCCACTCCTCGCCGGAAACTGTCGCGCAGAGAGTCCAGAAGACGTGTTTCCGTTAAGGAGCTTTTATGCTGGAAGAGATTCCGTAAGCGCCCACTGTCGGATTCTGCTAGCGACTGACGGAGCCATGCTCAAGGGGCTCCGTTACCGGCAGAGGTTTGCGGACTTAGCAAAACTCTGAGGGACCAGGATTTAATGCACAAGCAGCTCATCATCCCATCACAGCAAACAAATGATTATATTGATTTAAGACATTTGGGGAATACTTTTCATGAGTCTCTTTTCAAAAAAAAGTGTTTTCATACATTTTAATACATTTAGTACATTGGTGTCTGCTTATAGAAGTTTGTGAATTGTATTATACAGGTGTCTGGAAATGGAAGTTCTCTATAATTATGTATGCAAATACTGAGAGAAAAAAACTGAATATACACTGCAGAAGCACGCCATAAAGCATAAGGAGACTTTTGCAATTTGTCTTTGGTTGCATGTGTAATTTTAGAGCGAACTTTTACCATCTGCAAAGATGACTACTTGCCCTACAGAACAAGAGTCCAGGCAAATACGCAACAGCACTAAGTGCCAATTAATATATTTGAACCATTATCACATACAAAGTTTCAGGAGAGTTAAACTGTGGAAAAAAGTTGTTTTTACATGTTTACTGCCCAGGCTTGTTTACAGAAGGCCATCGTAGCCCAAATTAGCTATACTGAATGCACAGATGGAAGATGGGTAAGCTAAAAGGCTATTATATTGTGCACTCATAAACAGAATTGAAATACTTTACAGGACCTATCACTTCATTGGCAGAGTTGCCAACTCTCTGTCCCGGTGTTGCTCCTTTAAATGGCAGCCTCAGGGACCAAATTTAAGCAAGTGATTTTTCTCCTTCCATCTCTGTGTCAGGAAAAGTGTCACGGGTTAAAATCTGTTCCAGTTCCGTTAAAGGGCCAGGGCTAGGCTAAGCAGTATTTCAACATTTTGAAGAACAGTTTGCATGCGTCTATTTATTATACCTAGGTAAATGGGCATCGCCTTACACGTATGACCCATAAGAGAATCCTGTGCACATGATGAAACCCTGCCGTTTCCCTGAATGCCACCCTTGTAAAATGAGGTCCTACATTTTATTTTGGCAAGGCCGTTTTCTGACAGCTGAGTTCAGCAGGTGCTGTACATATCTCCTCAAGTAGCCGTGGGCAAAGGCAGAAAAGCACCGCCAAGAGGGGGGAAGTCGATTAACTCACCATATATATGCAGCGCTTTTCGTTTAGGTACAGTCTGGCCCGATTTGAGTACGTGAGCCATGCAAGCTTAATTGAAAGCAAGTCCTATGGCTGTGTTGGGTGAGGTTCCCCTGCCCCAGATGAACTGGCAGGTGCGCAACATAGAATCCTGTAGAGTTTGAAGGGACCCCAAAGGCTGGTCTATCCCAACCCTCTGCAGTGTGGGAACCACAGCTGAATGAATCATCCCTGGCAGGTGGCCACCCAACCTTGATCCCAGGCATGTTTTGCAGAGGAACATTTCCCACAGGAAACACTCAGTAGCAACTTTCTAGGGAATTGCCCTCTTAACAGAGCAAACCTATGCCCCACCTGTCAAAAGCAGGGACCCATCCTATTCAGTGGTGGTCGCTTCCTAGGAAAGCAAGCCCAATGTTAAAAACCGAAGCACACAGCAAAAGGAGTTTGGGTGGACTGAGCGGGCACCAGGCATGCATGTGAATCCTTAAAAATGAGTAAAAATTCTCGATCAACTGTAGTTCTGCCCACCACTCCCACTTAATTTTTTTTCCAAATTTTTTTATTGGTTTTCACAATATTATAAACAAACAAACACATAGGACAAACAAACATAAATCATAGCCTTATTAAAAATTACACTTATTAACTTTGTTAAGTGACTTCCCCGCTTCCCCTTGGTTGAATTTCATTGCATATCCTTTTAACGGTTTCCCAAGTCACAATTCTTATAAAATTTAACTTAAACATTAACATCCTTAAATCTTCACTTTATGAAATTAAACATATTAATTCATCACACCACTCCCACTTAAAAAAACAACAACTTTGGGGGCTATCTGCCCCCCCCCAAAGCTCAACTTCCCCAACAAAAAATCCTGGCTATGCACATGGTGCCAACTTGAATAAAATACTGGGTTGGGGGGGGGGCAGGTAAGCCCTAATCGACCACAATGGCAATGTCCAACACCTTGCGGGGAGGCCTGTCCCCCTCAAATATTTTATGGGGGGGTCAAAGGGACCTCGGGCCCCCAGGTGGGTGGAGGAGTCTCGCGCTGTGTGTGCGGCATGGGGGGCATTTTGTCCTCTCACTCCCGACGCCTTCAACCCCTCCCCCCCCCCGCAATTCTTTCGCCTCGCGGTCACCCCTCCAGGAACGCCGGTTGGTTCGTCCCTCCCCCGTTCGCTACGCACGCACAGGAAGCGGGGAGGAACGGCCCACGGAAAGAAAACGGGGGTGCGCGCGAGAAAACGCCGTCGTCTCCCGCTTACCTGCGCGATGGCGGCTCCTAGCCTGGGCGGCGCTCCGCGGCTTGTCTTCCGCCATCGCCGCCTCTGAGCTCTCAACCGCCGAGGCGCTGTCGGGTGGGGCGGCGCTTCTGCTGCTGCTGCCGGCGGCCGCCTTCGCCACAAGGCCTAGTGGAGGTTGCGGCGGGGCTGCTCCTTCGGGTAAGCGGAGTCGTCTTTAGTTCATGGTGGGCTGGCAATTAAAAAAGAAAAAAGGGATAGAGAGAAGGGTTGGTGGTGACTCAGAAGCAGCAAACCCGTTTCTCTCCGTTTATAGCAGAGCTTCCCAAAGTTGGGTCTTCCAGCGGGGTGGTGGTGGTGTTTTTGGACTACATTTCCCATCATTCCTGGTTACTGGCCCTGCTAGCTAGGGACGATGGGAGTTGTAGTCCAGAAACCCAAGTTTGGGAAACCCTGGTTTGTAAGCAACTGGACTCCCAGCTTTTTCACTTTAACCGTTGGGGTATCCTTTTTTTATTTTTTAACTGCTTCAAATGAAACATAAAAAGGACCCCTCTTGCATTTCTCTCTTCTTTTTTTAATTGCATAAAAATAAAAAAGGGTTGTGGATATGCCACAGCAGCATTCAGCAGAACTGTAAATAATGTGCTCCATAGGCTGCAGTAAGCCTGAGGCGTGCCCCATTTAATTCGGATTAAAAGGGCTTGAAAAGCTTCCCTTGTAAGTAGGAGAGCAGTGGGTGTTGAGGCTGCCTTCCCACCTTCATTTGCCAGGACAGATGGGAGTCTATTTGGAGAGCACCAGGTTTGTGAGAGGCTGCTTTGGGATGAATTCATTATGGTGTAAGCTTTCATGGACTTCAGTCCACTTCATCAGACGCATCTTCGAGACGTCATGGTGGAGGGGATTGAAAGGCATAAAAAGTACAGATTACGGCATTTGGGTTAGCGCTAGGACCTATGCAGGATCAGTATGGTAACCCTTTACAGCAGCAGTGATGATATAACAGCCTAGGTGACGGTTCTTGGTTAATGAACATCTGCAGCGGGGAAGGAAGCCATTGTCTCTATTCAGGCCCAAATAAATAAAGCTGAACTTGTTGATGAATTGATTAGTTCACTTTAGAACCTGCCGCCGCTTGGGCTCCCTGGCAGTGGTGCTGTTGCAGCTTCCAAGGTCGGTCAATTGTTCACCGGTGGACTAAAAAATAGTAATGGAGGCATAGCCTGCCACCATGTAAATCCACAAGCTAATTGGTTCTCTGGCCATTAACAATGTTGCTGCCTGGTACAGTAAATAAATGTGTGACAAGGAGCATGACAGCCGCATTGCCAAGCAGTCCTAGTGATGGGTGGGAGAGCCGCCCTAGTCTGCCCTGCTGGGGCACATCAGCCCTAAGAAGTACCCCAAAATGCCTAGTTTGTCTGGAGGCCTGGAGAACTGGACATAGATAGCCAAGGTGGTTCTCCTGCAGATGCTGCTGACTAAAACTCCCATCATCCCATGGCATTGGCCAGTGTTGACTGCAACTGACGGGAATCCCAATAACTGGAGGGCATTACATTGACTCCTCCTGGTGTAGGCAATACAGAGGTACAAGGGTCTGATTCGATACAAGGCAGCACCCTACCTTTGCTGACTTACTCATTAGTTTTCTAGCTGGTCTGTCCTTAACTTTCTGTTGGAGAATGTCAGCAGGAGGGAAAAGGAAAAGAAAGACATTCAGCCAGTTCTGATTTAGTTTAAAGTGAGTCTCATTCAAGTCGGTCTTTTTAATTTGTGATAGAGTCCTTGAAGATCAGGAAATAATGGCTGAAGATGAACTTCGAGACATCATACAAAGATGTGTAAGTGATTGTTTTGCTTGTGAAACTATACCAAATGGCAAAACCTACTGTTCTAATTGTTTTTACATTCCCTTGTGAGGAAACGTCTGGGGGCTGCAAGCCAGTGGGAGATGGGTTTATGCATTAGGTAATATCCAACCCCACAAAACTCAGAGGTTTCTGTGCACATACCCTAACCTTCCCATCTGTCTAGGCAAACAAGAGGCATTGTCATAGTTCAAGGGCACATCCCAGCCAGGCAAAAGCATTCAAGGAGGATGTGATTTGTTGCTAGTGAGAGTGTGGCTTGGGGAGAATCCTGAGGGGTGGGTTGAGAGGCCAGGATGACCCCATGTTGTCTCTGGGCTTGAGTTTCCTCATCCTTACTCTACAGGTAACACAGTACAACATTAATTGATCGTCCACTTGTTCTTCTGTTTGGGAACTGTTGTTACTACCCTCCATTTGCCTAGCAAAATTATAAACACTTTGTGTCGAAGCCTTATCAATAGGCAGTAGTTTGGAGACAATAATTCTAAAAGACCTTGCTTTTGGGAAAAATACAAAGGACCATATTCAATTCATTCATTCCACTAGGGAGAGCTTGCCCAAGGATTCCTGCTACTGCGGGACATTTCCCTCCGCTCCTGCTACTGTGTCCTCCCCAAATATTCTGGGTTGGGAGAACCCCAAAGGAGAAAAGGGGAGATTATTCTGTCAGCATGAGCATTTTGGGCTGCTTGAGGGAACAATCTCCTTAGCGCTGCATTGAATACAACCCAAAGTCTCTGAACTTGCTGTCAGATTTCTTCTGTATGTGACTAAAGAATCTTGTTCGGCTTAATACGGAATCAGTATTGCATTGTGAAGGTAAAGTGTTGTGCATTTTAATTGCATATTGTGAATTACAATGGGAAACATGTGTTCTAGCAAATTCTGGAAGAAGAGGATTTCAAAGGGGAAGACTTCAACCTTTTTCAAGTTGCGGGACAAAAGTGCTTTGAAGAGGGATACGTCGCCGATGTACTGGAAGTTGTTCAAAATGAGAAAAACAAGGTGAGTTTAAAATACATGTTTGTGTCTTAACTACTAAAACCAGCTGGAGGTAACTGTACAGATTTTGGCCATGCGCACATTGCTGGGGCAATAACATCCAATTGCATTTATTGGGATCATCCAGGCTCACTCCCTTTGGCCACCAAGGCAAGGGAGCCTTATTAAAGCGGTTGGAATTAAAGGAATTGACCCCTATGACTGACTGGGCTTCCACCCTGTGGCCTGACAGTTTATAAACTTAGGATGTCATGGGAATTTTCCACGCATGCCTGTGTTCTGAAATGTCACTGAGCCAGACCCGGTGTCCAAAGACCTTCAGGGCAAGACAGTAGGATAAACTTCATCATGGCATCCCTGGCTTGTCTGTTTTTTTGTGATGCTTCTGGGAGGCTAATCCACACCACTCTTCTAAAATGTGCTGCCCCCCACCTCACTGGACTATGGGGCCTGCCTTTTTCGTTGCCTCCAGTTAGGCGATAGGTCGATCACTCGGTGGCATCCACCCCTCCTGCGTTGCTTTGTTTTGGGACTAGTCTCTCTCTTGGGAGGAAGGTCTCTGTTTTTGAATTGCACCAAAACATAAACTAAAAGGAGATTACAGCAAGGAGGCATTCTTCTGGCCTTTCCTGGATCTTGGCTTGGGTCCCATAGGTATAGGGAAACAAGTAATATTTGCAGTTAAACAAACTTAATCTTGTATTTACCCAGTCTTGCTCTAATATAGATCTCCCAAGGCAGGAGAGCTACTCCTTTGCATATAGCCTTTTCACAGAATCATAGAATTGTAGAGTTGGAAGGGATCCCGAGCATCATCTAGTCCAATTCCCTGCAATGCAGGAAAATGCAGCTGTCCCATACGGGGATCAAACCTGAAACCTGGGCATTGCCAGCACCACAGTATAACCCCTTTCTGGTACTTTCCTCTCTTCCATAGCAAGTCAGTGTTTTTAAAGACTCCATCTCAACAGTTCCTCATTAGACAATTCCCCATCTTTAGTCTCTTCCTACCATCTCCGTAACTAAGTAAATGGTGCAGGCAACCTGTGGGTGGACTTGTGTCTCTATGCAGAAATACCTTTGTATTTTTCAATAGTGATGTTTCAAGCTGCTATTGTTGCTCCCAATACTGGCATATTCTCGGCAAACCATTATTTAGCTATACATAAATATTACAATCGCAGCTGCAGGGTGTTTATCACTGGCTTTCTTAAGCAAAGCACACAATGCACATATGTTGTTGTCATATAAATTGCCTTTTGGAACATTTCCCTCCTATAGGTTATTGTCAAAAGCATGGGCTGGAATCTTGTTGGTCCTTTAATCAGGTGCCTGGTGAAGTATAAGCAAGATGAAGTTGAGAGAGAACACTGCCTGAAAATATTAGATAAGTTGATGGAGGTAAATCACAGTGTCTATCCTTCTAGCTGCCTCGGGACTCATCTAAAGAGTATATTTTAGCTTTCCTCTTCACTGATTGATGGGGTTGGGAGACATTCTTAGGATTTGAGATCCTTGAGGGAGTAATGTTTGTGTGTGGAAGTGTGTGAGGATAGGGAGAATGCTGATCCTTCAGTGGAGAAAGAAAGAGTTTACAGTCATACCTCGGCTCCCGAAGACCTTGGGAGTCGAACATTTCGGCTCCTGAACAATTGAAAACCAGAAGTGAGTGTTCCGGTTTTCAAACGTTCTTTTGAAAGCCGAACATCCGACAGGGCTTCCACGGCTTCCAATTGGCTGCAGGAGCTTCCTACAGCCAATCAGAACCCGCGCTTTGCAAGTTGAACATTTTGGAAGTTGAACGGACTCTGTTCGACTTCCAAGGTACGACTGTACTTAAATGGACAACAAGTGACCAGGTGGATTGGGTTAGTTAAATCTGCATAAGTGAGGCTGGAATTCTAGATTGTATCACTTGAGACTGTGACCCAGTTTGCTTGTAATGCTAAGCCAAACCATGGTTTAGTGCAACTGCACAGGTTCACAAGGGAGGACCAGCTCCACAGGTTCACAGGTTCACAACAGCCACTCTGTTCCTCCATGGTTTGGCTTAGTGTTGGGGTTGCCAATATGTGGTGCCCACAGACGCTAGTGCAACCAGCTGTGCTTTCTATGGTGCCAACCAAAGGTCTCTGTAAATATCCCCTCAAAATGCACAAGAGACTGTTTGCTGCCCTTCTCATTTCCTGGTTGCACTGACTCGGCCTCACACTGAACATGCCGCCTTAAACATTTCATTGAG